TGCAATACTATCATCGTGTCTCGCTGTGGCCGTGTATGGAGGTTGAGCGATGTTTCTTGTTTAATTGTTAAGTTAACTTTCCGATCGTAAACAGATTTAACTGTTTAGAGTTCATCGTTACTTTTTTTTAGTTATCTTATTAAAGACGTCTTATTTTTGGAAATCTCTGTTGGGGACCATACCGTCAACAAGCCAGGCAAGTTCATAAAATAATAAAAAATAAAGATTGATAAACAGATGTTCTTCAACTTCATTTCAAAATAATTTTACTAAAGTTTTATTAAATCAAGTATATTACCGGCCGTTCTCCTGTTTAGGTGCCTATTAATAAAAAACTAAAAAAGTAGAACGCATGTTGAATAAATAAAAAAAAGGAACTGTATGTCAGGACATTACACATTGCGTAATTGGGTAAAATGGGAGATAGGTACTCCTATGGTATTGTCCATGTTTACAAACAATCATAATGTACTTTTAATAAATTGACTTCGCCCATTTTGAATTATCTAGCGCTTAATTATTTATTTATAATTTTATATTAAATTGAAAATAATTTAATACAAGTTAATTCTTACTAAGAATTAGGTAAGTAATTTAAGTAATTTCTTAGGTAAGTAATTTAATACAATACGAGTTAATTAATTCTTAGGTAAGTTTTTTAGATCATTACTTGTCAAATATCAATGGCTTATGGAGTGGTTAACTGGGTTAGGGTTAGCGTTAGGGCCTCCATTTTAAATAAAATTTTCAATCATTTCACAAATGATTAAAAATTTTAACCACTCCATATTTGTGAAATGATTGAAAATTTTGTTTAAAAGGGAGGCCCTAATCCTGATAACAACTCCATAAGTTATTGATTGTTATCAAAACAGAAATTTACTCATATTTTAACTTTTTTTTATTTAATGTTCACTATTTCAACTATTTGACAAGTAATGATCTAAAAAACTTATCTAATTAATCATTAATTGTTTTACCGTGTAATTGAGTAATAAGATTACACATTACACCTTACTTACAGATTACACGATCAAGATAAATGAACATTGTGAGCCGTATCCATAATAAGCAATTTACACTTGACGTTTAAGATTTATCTTTCCACTATTTTACCTTATTTTATTTTATATTTGTAGTATCTCTACCATCAGTTTGATTTTAGAATAGTTTTTTATCTTTTAGTGTTTTGTATTGTAATGTACTGTGGCATGTTTTACAACAGGATCCATACACAGCATTTCTGTTGTGCGTAATTGTATTTTTTAATCATTGAACGAATAACAGCTTATTTCACCCGTTCTTATTTAATACTTTTTCGATTACTAGGTGATTTGGAAAGAGAGAGAGAGAACCCAGTTTTAAAAATTTAGATGCTATCACAACCAAAAAAGATGTAAAAAAACAAAAAAGACTTGAAAAAAGTAAAAATCAAATATTGATGTTATTACAACCAAAAAAAAAACTTAAAAAAAACATACAAAACTTTAAACAAAATAAAAAGCACATCTATTCACCTCAAAACCAAGATCATTTCTAAATCTCGTTGGATTCATGATGTTTTGCAGCAAGAACCTGTCATTCGTAGTATTTAGAAACTTGTTTTCAACTTTGTTATTATTTCCATTACAGCTTAATGTGTCCCAGTCTATATCAGGAAAGTCAAAATCTCCAAACATTAAAAAATCTCCAACCAATGCCAACCTTTCAAACATCAGTGTTAACAAAATATTGCTATTTTCATCGGTAGATGTTGGACTTCTATATATAAACATGATGGTTAATAATTTATTTGAGATACAAAGTTTTACTAATACAATATTAAATTATTTTTTCTCTTCTCTCTATCGTTAACAATTTCAAACTTAGTTGTTGTATCTATTTTTCTTGTTTTATAATTTCTCTTCCTAACTTTCTGTATTTATTTTCTCACTTATTTCTTTAATTTTGTTTTACTGCCTTGCATGTTGTTACAGTTTCTGCGTCTGTCAGATCCTGATTTTTAAAGAATAATAATAAAAAAAAAATAAACTAATTTTACGTCTGATGATAGATTATCAACTTTACCCTTGATTGCTTCTGAGTACAGTTATAATGGCTCTTAGAGATTTTTATATTTCTTTTGTTATCATCTAGTTGTTTTACTAACTTCTGAGAAAACTTTTCAACTTTCTTTCTGATAGACGTCCACTCATCATTTTGGCAATTAATGGCAGTTTCTAAAAAAGCCATTCTTGGCATGAGAGTTTGTGTTGTACATTTTAATTCATCATTCAATTGTTTTATAAAAGGACCAAATTCAATACTGCAAGACTTTTCTTTGTCCAACAATACTTGTAATCTTTCTTTGGGACAATTCAGACAATCCTGACAAAGTTTTAGTCCTCCTAATTCGTTATTGGCCTTCCTTGTTTCCAATTTAGAATCTTCAGTTTTCTTTTTTCCTGCCATCGGCATTTATAAATTATCGACAACTTAATTTAAAAAATTCAATTTTTTTATGCAAGTTACTATAATTAAAAAAACGGTTTTACGAAAGTTTTTCGAGCGATAATAACCACAGCAAAACATAGCATGAATAATTTATTTCAGCAACAGTGTTATGAAAAGTTTTATTGACTTCTGAAAAGCCAGATTCTCCAACAACTGAAAAATATTACTAGTCATCTAAATAACCCCTGTAGACAAAACTGATTCAGTAGACAAACCATCATTAAACAAGGCTTGTTGCCCTCTGTCAACAACAAATCAAATTTCTTTTATTCAATAATCTCAAATAATTTATGCAACAAATAATGACATAAACAAGTGCAAGATCTTTCACTCCGAAAGCAACCTCAAGCTCAGTCAATAAAGTCACGATATCAACTGTGTCAAATGTGGCACCACTCTTGTTGTCAACAGGAGACATTATTTTATTTTATTCTTGATTATTTAATGAACTGGAAGGCCAGAAGTTATTACTAACTTGTACAGACTCTGTAAGTACATAAAATAATTTATATATGTATACATATATATATACATATATATATATATATATATATAGTTCAAAAAATCCACCGACGATATATATATATATATATATATATATATTGGTAAAAGACCACAATTTTTGCAATTGAATGAATTTATGCAGCATGAATTCAGAAAATAAGTTTATTTTGAATTTTAATAAACTAAACGTTTACCAAAAAACTTTAGTGAGAAAAATCGAAAAAACGAACTACAAACATATTAACGTCAAACATTCGGTAGAATTTATAGAATATTGTAAATATATATATATATATATACATATATATATATATATATACAAAATATACATACATACATTTACGTATTCTTACATATGATCGTAGAGGATAAATAGCATATAAAAAATAGAATACAGAAAGGTGGATCAGTGCAATAATAAAATGAAATCTTGAACACAGTTTCAGAAATGCCGAAATCATGAACTAATCTGCCTAAAAGTATCTGGTAGTCAACACAATCGAATGCTGCACTCATATCCAAAATATTATCAGAGCAACGTTTGTTTGTCAATCGCAACAATCAATTCCGATAATATATACATTAAGGTAGTTTCTGTTCAGTGCTGACGTCTGTATCCAAACTGATATACAGGCAACAATTTCTGTTTATCCAAGCGGTTGAGAAGTTCTCTTGCCACAACCTATTCCATAATCTTTGAGACAAAACAGATGTTTGAGATTGGTTTGTAATTTGCCAAATCATTTTTATCTAGGTGCAGTTTTTTAAACTGGATGAACAACTGCATATTTGCAACTTTGAGAAAATCTGCTGTTCATTAAACTAAGGTTCACGAAATTTGTAAGCAAAACAATATATAAATCCACATATTTCTTGGAGATATGTGTTGAAAAGGCATCCAATATACAATTTTTAATGGTCAACCAAGTATAATTTTTTTATATCTGCATCTGTTTGTATTGAAAAACTCGAAAACAAACAATCACTATCTAGCTTGATTTGATCAAAGACTGGCCTATTGCCATCATTAGTAGTTTGTTTAATTTTTTCAACTTTATTGTCAAAAAACTTCATGAACCTGGAAGGATGTATGCCAACATTATCGTGAGACATATCGTTATTACTTTGTTTACAAAAAATTTTATTTATAATATCCCATAATAGCTCCTAAAAATTCTGGTTTTTCATGGTTAAATTTTTCCAGTAAGATTTTCTTTTTTGGGAAAAAATCTTGATTTTATTTTTTAGAGCAGTGATCCACCATTCATTTCGAGATACAAATGACAAACTACGCCTATATTGGCGTTCTGTTTTTCGACAATATCTTTTAGCTATCTTGCATTCTTCGTTGAACCATGAAGCTGTAACATCACATCTATATTCAACAATATGGAGAGGTGCAATTTTGTCAGCAAGCATTTTAAGTTCATCATTTCATTTAAATTTTCAAAATTAATATCAATATCATTACTTTGACAAGGATTTGATATTAACAAATTTTCGACATACATGAGTAGATCATCTTCATTTATGCGTCTCCATGATCTGACTAATTTATGAGCTCTTTTAGGACATATGTGCATCAATGGTAGGCTAGCATGTATCAAACTAGTCAGAATAGACGCCGCTAGGAAAAGGAAATCAAATTCAACTAAAAATCAAAATTTTAAAACGAAACAAACGCTAAACTGTTCTTCAGAATTTTAGATAGCTAAATATCCAATTTATAGACAAAATAATGAAATGAAACTGAACAAAATAAACATTTATTGACTGCAAAATTATTTCAGTCGTCAGCAAAAAGTATCCATTGAAATAAAAATAATTATGTATACATATGCACGTGCATGCATGCAGATAGATTTAGATTATAAATATCTGATTTAGCAATTACATTTAGCTGATTGGCTAATGTAATAAAATTGTAGACATGAAAAACATATTTAGATAAAAAATGATAGAGAGTCAAAAAAGTCATGCTAAATGACTTGAGAATACTGGATTTATAAAGGAGCAAGCAGGAAACCACTATGGGTGAATTTCCACATTGGCAGGCTGACAGGCCAATTTTCAGGATTAGTGAAAACCATCTTCTGATGTTTTAAAACGGTTATGCAAAATTTGTTTGACGGGTCTTTGATTGATGGTTGAGGACAAGTCAGGGAAGATTTGAACACTGGTATGCATTCTGCGGCGGTTAGCCTAATAGCTTCCAGATCTTTAGAAGATTGACGTCATGTTCAATCAGTTTGAAGGCTGTCGAGATTTCTTCAGAGCTGTAGAAGTCGGACGTATTATTAATAAAGATATCGTTATTTAGAAACTCGTATTTATTTGATAAATAGCATAAAACTTCATTGATTGTCAAATTCCGTTTACACGCCATGATGCCGGAAATCAAAAATCAAAAATTATGTCATCAAACATCTTGAGCAATACCCTTTCTGTCAAGGCAAAGGCACAATAGGCAGATTGAACATCAGGCAACAAACGTTCAACGTTAAAGTGACTCATAAACCGAGTATGAGGGTATGAACCAAACGCTCAAAAATCTTAGACAAGAATGAAAGGTTAGAAATTGGTCGATAATTTTACCGTCATTAATATCAAGGTCAGCCTTTTCACACCACCATCACAATAACTACCACCATCACCATCCCCACCCCCATTACCACCATCAGCATTACCACCACCATTACTACCATAGTTATCATTACCATCGTTATTATCATCACCACCAACATCACCAGTGTTAATTTCATTAGTATTACTGTTATCATTACGATAATCAATATTATTACAATTATCATTAATTTTACCATCATTATCATCATCACTATTATTATCATTACCACCTTTGTTATTTCTACCATCAATATCATTACCATCATCATCACCATCCTCACCCCCATTACCACCATCAACATTACCACCACCATTACACATCATTACAATATCATTACTAACAGTATTACTACCATCCTTTTTATTACTGACATTAATATTACCATAATAATAATTACCGGCACTATTATTATAACTATTATTATTATCATCATCAATATTATTATTATTATTAACATTAATATTACTATCATTATTACCATCATCATCACCACCAACATCCTCACCCCCATTACCACCATCACCTGCAGGAGTACCTCTGATTTTGAATGAAAATCCAGCCGGGTCATTCTTTAAACTTATTTCTCTTCTTTTCTCTTCTAGTAGCTTCCTGCATGTATTTCTGTCTTCATCCGATAGATCATGTCCAATGATTCCATTATTAAATTCATCAATTTTTCTTAGTTTTGTGATATTTTCCATCACTAGGTTTTTTGTTTTATAATTATTGAATTTTATTATAACAGTTCTTACTTATGTTGCATTTTCTGCTTTTTTCCTATTCTGAAGATTCCTTCAATTTCATCTTTAATATCAACATTTGTCATTTTTTTGAACATCTTAAAAATTGCCTGTTTAACAGCTATTTTTAATTCATTTTCTGGTATATTAAATGCAATTATATTGTTTTTCCTTCTCTCCCTATCTTTGGCAGCGTCTGATTCCATTTTAGCACTTGTTACTGAAGTTTTAATATTGGTAACATCTGAGGTTATCTTTTTAACATTTTCCTCAAACAATGAGCTCCATTTAAAATTGCATAGTTCATTTTTCTCTAAGCTTTTTATAGCATTATTTTTTACTTTTTCAATTTTTTTCTCTATTTCTGACAACATCTTTTTGTATTTTCACAGAGTCTTCTATTTCATTGATCTTCACACAAATCTTTTTTATTTCCCTAATATCTTCCTTGATATCCTTTAGCTCATCCAATTTAGAGTGATTCACGCCCAAAGACAAATTGGAGATTTTCTTAAGGATTTCTTCATTTGTCTTGCGACACATTTCGCATAAGTGAAGTTGGTGATCCATCTTCACAAGGCTAGGGGCTGACTTTATTTGTGGCACGGACACCACCTTTTATTCATCTTTTCTTCCTCTGGTTTCCATTTTTCAACCAATACTATTTCTATGATATCCAAAACACACTTTTAGTCAAAAAATATCAATTTAAAATAATTAATTAACTCAGAAATTTACTATTTGACGAGAATAAAAAAATATTGTCGTCCAGCTCGGGAAAACTCAAAGATTATTATTTATTATTATTATTATTATTATTTTAACTATTATAATATCTGATCATTTTATATTTGATTGTAATTTTTATTTATATTTTGTCTTTTGAAGAAATAAAAGAGTTCTCATTATTTTGATTATAAGTTCAACTGATATTCAAAGCATTTAAATAATATTTTCAATCACTAAAATGGTATTTTCCCATTATTAAATGAAACATCCAGACCTATCTTATATTTGGTTGATAACAGAAGCTGCTGATTTTTTTGTTTAAATAAACATGTAATGTTGTGATCATTTTCAAATTAGATTAATAGCGATGGCCACACAAGATAAGTTGACAAGAATTGCCATAGTAAATTCTGACAAATGCAAACCCAAAAGATGCAAACAAGAATGCAAACGTTCCTGTCCAGTTGTTCGAATGGGTATGCTTTTTGCTTATATTAGAAGTTTTTTGCCAGCTTTTGATGAGATATTTTTACTTATATCAAAAATTTTTTCGTCAGATTTTGATTTAAGAAATCAGTCAACTTTTCTATTAAATGATCCATTATTTAAAGAAAAATATGTGAAATAGAAAATTTAAAAAATCATTCATTGAAGGATTTTAAATTAATTACTTGGCTTATTGATTTATTTATTTGTTGTTTAACATAATGCTAGGTCGTTTGTGCATTGAAGTCTCACCAGCTGATAAGATAGCATTTATTTCAGAGGAGCTTTGCATTGGCTGTGGAATATGTTCAAAAGTAAGTTGTCATTTCCATTTTTCGTTTGATTATATATAATTAAGATAATTTGATATATATAATGCCCTTAGCGTAATGTCAGTGGTGTCTGGATGAATAGACTATTAGGATCTCTGAAAGGCTGTTCAAACGAATATTGCTTCAAACATTTCATTTAGAAGTTCTATGAATGGTTGTTAATGAAGGCTGAGTGGCAAACTGTTTTATATAAATTAGGAAACAGTATTTGCTTACTGGTTGGTAAAATTATGAAGCTAGGTAAAGATCATGTTTTATGATGATGCACAAACATAAATAAGTTTATGTAGATATGATGTTAGAGACATGATGAGTGTTTTGTAAGCAATACCTGGCGAATCAGTAGCCAATGTGAGAAGATGAAAGATGAGCTAGAGAAAAGTTATTCCAAAACATGCTTTTTAAATTTGTTGAAGAACAAAGATTATACAGTAATGAAGGCGGACCAATGACAGAGTAATGAAGACACTAGACTGGCCATAACAGCACCACTCAGTGTTAGCAAGAATATTGTATAAATGGGGAGTAACTTATTCTTTGGAAAAACAAGGTTGGCAGGTAAATTAAATGGAGGCGAAATTTGGAGAGGAGGTAACATGAAGAATGTTGTTTAGGGTCATGCATTCAAAAAGTTGAGAGGTTTGATATAAAACGGTGAATTGAAGGAGTGGGGCGGGTTAGGATTAGGTTTTTTTCAGAAGGGAAAAAAAATTAGCAGTTTTAAAAGCGGTTAACTAAAGTTGTGTTTCAATGTTTTGTTTTATTTAAATTTTTTGCTTACAAAATTTATTCATTAAAAAATATTCTCATGAAAGGACGTCAAAAACTTGTTAGTTATATTGGGTTATGTCCAAAGACGTTATGTTGGATACTTTTATAGATTTTATACACATATTAAAATATAAGCTGTTGTTAAAATATTTTTAGAAAAGGAGTTTTTAAAAAAGATAGGTTGCAAATTGTTGATTCAATGTAATTTTCACTAAAATTATCACTTCACCATAATTAAATGACGGGAAGTTGTGAAACTTGTGGTTATTTTTTAAAAAGAATGACTACACCAGTTTATTTTAGCGTTTTTATACCACCGTTAAAACTATTTGCTGAAGCAAGTTTGAATTTCTACTGAAATATTATTATTTTACATATTTGCAGAAATGTCCCTTCGAAGCCATTAATATAATTAATCTTCCAAGCAACTTGGAGAAGGACACAACACACAGATATTCAGCAAATTCTTTCAAACTGCACAGACTACCAACCCCTCGACCTGGGGAAGTGTTAGGTCTTGTTGGAACAAATGGTATAGGAAAATCTACCGCTCTCAAAATATTGGCTGGAAAACAAAAACCTAATTTGGGAAGATTTAATGTAATTTATTTTACTTTTTCATTTATATATATATATATATATATATATATATATATATATATATATATATATATATATATATATATATATATATATATATATATATATATATATATATATATATATATATATATATATATATATATATATATGTATATATATGTATATATTTATTTATATTTATTTATATTTATTTATATTTATTTATAAGTCTTTATTCAGCAAATGCTGGGAGACGCAGAAGCTTAAAGAACTTGTATGGTCACCCTAATCAGAACAGAAAAAAGCAAATAAGACAAAAAAAAACACAAATTGCACATACATGGATTAAAATCTAAAATGAGTAATACAAATGAAACAATCATACAATCATCGAATGTCAGCAGGAAAATAATTATTATTAATTAGATTCAGAACTGATGATTTAAATACCACTAAACTGTTCACACGAAAAAGGCTAGTAGGCAAAAGAAACCATAGTTTTAAACCGAAAACAAAAATCGTGGATGAAAATAAAGTAGTGCGTGACCTGACAATATGAACCGTTTGATGTGTGACGAGTTTTTTGGTGATTGTATAACGATGAATCAATCAAATAATTGTGAAATATGGTATATTTTTTCAATGTAATAACCTTAAAAAGAAATAATAAAACTCTAAATAAATATAGTTTCGAAACGGACAACAAATTAGATTTAGAAAAATAATGCGAAACATGATCAAACTTTTTTAAATCATAATAGATTCTAATAAAAAATAGTAAGCATTTATCTAATATCATTATATGGGATTTGACATTACGTCCCCAAGCAATAATGCAATATATCAGATAAGGATAAACGAAACCGTAAAATAAGCTGTATAATACAGATTTAGGTAAAACATGTTTTAATTTAAAAATAATTCCCACATTCTTTAAAATTTTAGTTGATATATAAATAAATATATTCTTTCCAACTTGGATTACTAGTAACAACAACTCCAAGAAAAGTGATTTTTTCAGTTTTAGTCACTATGTTGCCATTATAATATAATGAAAAGTTCATTAGATTAGTAACAATTTTAGGACCAAATAGTAATGCATAAGTTTTGGTAATATTAATTTCCAGGCAATTATTGAACATCCAAGAACTAACTCGAGTCAGTTCTTGATTAAGAACATTTTCAACTGTATTTAATTTTCCATCAGATGCCAAAATAGTGGTGTCATCTGCATACATTATATATTTGGCTGGCAGAGTAGAGTTAACAAGGTCATTTATATATAAATTAAAAAAAAGTGGCCCCAAAATTGAACCCTGGGGGACACCACAGGAAATGGGCAATAACGAGGAATTATGCAAGTCAATTATTACATATTGAAAACGGTCAGCCAGGTAACTTTCAATCCACTTTAACAGGTTGCCCCCCAAACCATATTGAGAAAGTTTCACCGGTAGCAATTTGTGATTAATAGAATCAAATGCTTTTTTAATGTCAATAAAATTTCCAATTGTAATTTTTTTTTGAATCAATATTTTTAGAAACAAATAATATTAAATCTTATATGGCCTGTTCCGTGGAACAATCTTTTCTAAAACCAAATTGGCAATCAGACAAAATGTTATATTTATACAAATATGAGGCGAGCTTACTGTGCACAATCTTCTCAATAATCTTAGAAAAGGATGAGACCAACGAAACGGGTCTGTAGTTTGTAATTGATTCTTTAGGACCCTTTTTATGTATTGGAACAACTTTTGTAATTTTTAAACAATTTGGAACAATTCCTGAGGACAACGAAAAATTTACACAATAGGTCAACAGTTTTAAAATTGGTCTGACAATGTGTTTAATAATGAAATTTGAAATACCATCATCACCCGCTGAATGAGAGTTCTTTAAACCATGAATGATCTCAAAAACCTCCAATTCATTTGTTTGACAATAAAGAAATGAAGAGGGTGTGGGTGGTGGCAAAAACTGAATAACATTTGAACTATTAGGATCAAAATTGGAATCAACTCCAATGTTAGTAAAATATTCATTGAAGGAGTTTGCAATTAACTCGAGAGCTAATGATTTCATCGTTTATATTAAAAGAGTTAGTTAAATTAGATGTATTATTTCTATTCATTAGATTATTTATTAAAGACCAAACATATTTTGGATTGTTTTTAGCATTTTGAAATTTCATTTTAGAATATGTTTTTTTGGCTTGTCTTGAGATCTTATTAAAATTGTTTTTTAGAGTTAGATAATTAATTTTATTGAAATCAGAAGGGTTGTTTAAAAACTTTTTATAAAGAATATTTTTCTTTTAAGCTAACTTAAGTAAGTCCATATTAAAATCAACGTTTTTTATATTTATTCTTCAAGATAGGCTTTGCAGCACATGTATCAATAATAGAGGAATAAACAAAATTGATGAAATTTTTAAAGACCAAATTGACATTTGATTGGTTATAGATGAATTCCCAATCTGTGTTAGATAATCTATTTTTAAGAACAGATAAGTTATATGTGGGAAAACAACATTTTGGCACCGGAGTGTGATTATCAACTTGAATATTATCATCTACAATTGTAAAAATGGGTAAGTGATCTGACAGATCACTATAGACAACACCAGACATGTGAGAAAGTGAACTGTTTGTAAAAATATTGTCAATGAGGGATAGACTATGATCAGAAATACGAGTTGGTTTAGAAATAAGTGGATGTAAATTCATTGAATAGAAGCTATTTATAAAATATGTTGATGAGTTATTAATATCAAACCCCAATATGTTTAAATTGAAGTCTCCTAAAATATCGATTTTTTGCAATTCAAAAGTTTATAATTTTTAATTTAGTTAGAAAATTGTTCAAATACAATAATAGGGTCAGAGTTAGGAGGCCGATAAAAAACAATAACTACAATGTTTTGATTAAACTTTGAATAGATTTTTATAGCCATTGATTCATAGTTGATCTAAATATATCAAGCTCTTGAGAACCAATCTTGAATGGCTATAAGTGGGGCTGTAATTTCAGTTAACCAAGTTTCAGTTATTGCAATCACGTTAAAGTTAATATTACATTCATTTAAAAACAATTCAAAATCATCAAGTTTAGGAAAAAAACTTTTAGAGTTAAAATGTAAAAAACTAAAACCATTTGAACAAAGGGAAATATGTTTACTAAGGTCCGATGCTTATAGTAGTTGCAGGAGTTATCTAAGTGATCAAAAAAATTTTTATCAGGGTCAAAATTGCTATCCATCTTGAGCAGTTGAGACTGTACCAGGTTGACAAGGCTGACTATGGAAGGACCACTCACGAACTATTACTTGCTCGGGCCAGGAATCAACATCTTCAATCAAGGCAGCAAATTTAGCAAACACACACAAACGAAATGAAGTTGACTGTTCAACATGTTGTTGTTTAGCAACGTTATCAGCTTTTTTAAATGCAGGAAAGCAGGAAATTTTATCAACTCCAATTAAACGTAGATGTTCAATAATGTTTTCGTTTGTACATCTGGTGACGTTTCCTACGTGATAAAACTTTTTTTTTATCATTATTTTATTGGCAGATATTTTAGAGTTTTCAGGAGCTCTTTTTCCTATTATATTGTTGACAGTAGGTTTTTTTGTAGCTTGTTTAGTCAGAGGGGGAGTATCATGACGTGCACGTTTTTTCTTAGCTTCAACTAAGATGAATGGATTTGAATTGTTGACTGGAGTATTTGGTGAGTCAGCCCAGTTTGAGTTGTGCAAAATGCTGGTACCAGGTTTAATAGCGTTTTTAACCTGTGGAAGTTTGTTTACCTTCTCGTCTTTAGAGTTTGAGGCCAAATTATCGATTTTTTCAAGACATGTTAGCATCAACTTTCTACAAGCCTCAAGTTTATTGGCAACCAGCTCATGTTGAACTTGAACTGTCTCCCGCAGGCTGGAGAAATTTACTCTTATAATGTTTTCCAAACTAGGTATTTTATTCAAATTGCGACTCACAAAAACCGGACCTTTTTCTAATAAATCATTATCGCTCAAACACTTCAGGACCGTCAACACGTCCCTTCTTTTTTTTTACCATGCAGCATAAAATTCAGTTTGCCTTTCAGTTCATCCTTGTGGGTTTCAAGTTCGTTTCTCAAAAGTTTTAGGTCAGTATTAAACTCTTCAAGCGAGTAAAACTCGGCGACATTATCGATAAGCACTTCGTTATCCAGAATTTTAAAATTGTTTATCAAAAAATATAGAGGTTCATTTATTATTACATTATTCAACTCCATAATAACATAATAATGATAAAAATTCGAATTAATGGATTGAAACGAGAAAATAATTTTCGAAAATTTAAGAGACCCGAATATTTGAATTGAATTTAATTTAATTTATTTGGCCAAAAGCACAGGAGATCAAGATACAAGTCAGTATGTGCAGACCACCTTAACTAACATATATGAGATGAAACATAAATCAACAAAATATAGGAACTAATAAATAATAATGAGCAAACAAATTCCAAAATCAAACAGAAAACCATAAAAGGCAACCAAACAAAAGAAAATGACTCAATGGTTTTTGAAAAATTACAGGAAAGGCACACAATTGAATTGAAAAACAAATTTGAAGTAAGAAATAAATTAAATGACAGAACTTCAAGAAATCAAGATAAATAAGTATATGCAATTTAAACAATCGAATGTTAATTAAAATATACCAAACAGACGATGAAGTTGATAAATGCTAATAAGAATAAGTGAATGCTTAAATCAACGCGCATTAACATAATTTTATAAATTGGAGACTTAAAAGTACCATAAGAGGAAGAGTTTTTTACACATACAGGTAAAGAATCCCATAGACGCATAGATAATGACAAAGTTGAGTGAATGAAAAAGTTTGACCTAGGAGTTAAAAGATAAAAGTCAGGGTTTATACGAAAACGAGCACATCTTGAATTTACAAACGGATTAAGTTCATGAAAAAGAGACTGACAGTAACGTAATTTATAAATGTTGAAAAAAGAGAGTAACAAATGAAAAGCATACAATTGACTTAAGTTAAGTATATTAGCTAGATAATAATAGTTTGAAAAGTGATCAAATTTACGTAAATTAAATAATATTCGAAGAAAATAGTTTTGAGCCAAAGTCAAAATGCGAACGTTTGATTTCGGAGCAGAACCCCAAACAGAGATACAATAAATAATATAAGGCAAAACAAGGGAATGATATAGCGTATACAATAGAAATTTAGGAAGTTTAAATTTCACACGATATATTAGGCCCAGATTTTTAGTTAATTTAGATGAGATGTGCTTGATGTGAAAAAACCAAGACAAATTAGAGGAAATAATAATGCCTAAAAATTTACATGAGAAAACTCTTTTAACAGGGCTGTTATTTAAAACAATAGTAGGAGAAACGATATCAGTTCTAATTCTCGGACCAAACAAAATAAAACAAGTTTTATCTAAATTAATACGCAAGTTTTTTGATACAACCCAGTCATAGATAAACTTCAGTTCATCATTAATAACATTAATCGAAATATTAATATCAGCATGCGAATAAAGAATAGTGGTATCATCAGCAAATTAAATAAATTTTAATAATTTAGATGAATTTATAAAGTCATTAATAAATATATTGAAAAGCAAGGAACCCAAAATAGAACCTTGGGGAACACCAGATTTAATAGGAGAATTAACCCTCCAATGCATGACTTAAAATTTTTTTGTGATTTTGAAATATTTTATTTAGCATAGTTTCAAAACATCAAAAAAGCCAATTAAAATGAAATTTAAAAAAAATAAGGTAAGTTATGATCAAAAAACAAAGTGTTCCTAAAAAGGTACGTTATGAGTTAATACTCATGGTAAATCATTTCCTGTGAAAATGTTCAAAGCATTCCAAGTGTAGGGCAACATCACATTTTAAACATTTCTTTGATACTTTCTTGTGGCACAATTTACATCTTTTTCGTCCATCCGAAATTTTTCCAATGAAATGGTCTTTTCCATCAAATTTTATTTCATTTTCAACGTTACGGTTTACTGATTTTCTTTTCAGATCTTCTGGTTGGTTTTGCCCAAATATAGTTTTGGCAACACTTCTGAACCCAGCATAAGTGTGATTTTCATGCTTTGAGTATTTTTTGGAAATGCACCAAGCATTATGAATGCTAGAATCCAAAGCGAAAGCAAAAAGCGGCCACCACCATTTTTTAATCCGAATATTGGTGCGCAAATTTTCAATGTTTTGATCCATCCTGTCAGTTCCACCCATATATTTATTATATTGATTTATTATATATGGCTGGGATATTAAAACATGCTTCTTGTTTGCTGAAGACCATCTTTTCACTTCCTTCATTGGTTCCAGCCCATTGCAGCTTGACAAGATAGAAACCACACTATTGTCATTCCATCTAACCGCAATAATATTCGAATCACTATCTGTAAAATAGTCAGATGTGCCTCTAGGTAATTTTTTCATTTCTTTTATATCCATCAATGGACATTTCTCTATTCGGTTAATTCTAACTGTACCGGTTGCATAAATATGATTTTCTTTTAGTCGTTCAATTAATTTGAACGAAGTGAAAAAATTGTCAAAAAATAAATGATATCTCTTATCATCAGGAAGGCATGATGTCAGTTTTTTAACTACTGATCCACCGAGTCCTAAATCTGGATCATAATCTTCAGTGGCTCCTTGATAGGGTTCACAACTCACTAAATAACCGAGACGATTATTCATGCACCAAATTTTGAATCCGAATCGGATAGGTTTACCTCTTATAAATTGCTTAGAGGAATGCCTACCAAAATATGGTATCATGGACTCGTCAATTGATAAACAAGTTTCTTCTGACCAATATTTTAAAAATCTTTCATTTAACATATTAAACAGAGGTCGAACTTTGGCAATTTTATCTTTTTTGTCAATTTTTTCGTTATCGCATGTGTGTAAATATCTGAGAAGTTCCTCGAACCTATTCACACTGATGGCATTACTCACTGCTAAATTATGAACATCATTGCTTTGTTCCCAATACATTCGTCGATTTGGCAGAGGAGCATAACCCGATAAGAGCAAAACCGCTAATGTCACTTTATATTCTTCTTCAGTGGCATTCAACTGCTTCAACTTCTGACTAGCATATAAATTAGACATGTCAGTGATGAATTTGATTATTTCATCATCAAAAAATAATTTAAACAGAGTGTGAGGAGATGAATTCTCAAATTCTCTATTTTCAGAAAACACTGGTATGGGTTCTACATTCAAAATGTCACTCTTCTTCCAATTTCTTTCAATTGATATACTTTTTTTCACTCTTTTTTTTAATGGTGTTTGTATTTGCATATCAATTTCTTCTTTCTGAAGCATTTCTTTGCCTGCCTCAATGTTGGAAATTAATGCTTCAGCATTTGAATTCAATAAAGTTTTTGATAAATTGTCAATAATTCCTTCCCCATCCTCAGGACCACTATCTTGATCTGAACAGTTGGGATCATCAGGTGGTAGCATAATGATA